CATTAAAGCTTTTAATTACGCAGTCTTGCATTCTGTTTTCATTACAAGTTTTTTAACTGTTTATTTGTGTTCAGGTGTATTTGAACGTGGCCATCTTCGAGGAAGAGCTAGAGGAGGGAGTGACCACACATCAAGAGCTGTTTCCTCACAGCATGTTGAGTGTGGTGGCAGAATTCATCCCTTTCTCTGATCACAATCAGAGTCCCTAAAACATGTACCAGTGCCAGATGAGTAAGAACCTCACTTCCTTTGATGGAACATAAATTTTGTCTGCAAATATCAACTATGAGCTGCAACTTAGAAGGCGTCGTCCTGTTGTAGGTAAACCGACAATGGGCTTCCCACTGCATTCGTACCAGGACCGATCTGACAATAAACTGTACCGTCTGCAGACCCCTCAGAGTCCTCTGGTCAGACCTGCGATGTACGACCACTACGACATGGATAATTACCCTATTGGCACCAATGCGATAGTGGCTGTCATTTCTTACACTGGCTATGATATGGAAGATGCTATGGTAAGCGTAACTTCCCATTAGGCATTTTCCAAAACATTCATTTGCATTTGTTAATATTTTGTGTTTTTAACTTTCTCCAGATCGTCAATAAGTCTTCATGGGAACGTGGCTTTGCTCATGGTTCTGTTTATAAGACTGAGCTCATAGATCTGTCTGAGAAGGTCAAAGGTGATGACAGCATTGTGTTTGGGGTGAAGCCAGGCGACCCCAAAGTAATGGACAGACTGGATGCAGACGGATTGCCATTTATCGGCTCCGTGCTGAAGTATGGAGACCCTTACTACAGCTACAGCAATCTAAATACCGGCCAGAGTTATGTGAACTTCTACAAGACATCGCTTTAGTTTTTTTTTTTTTTGGTCATAATTTTTGTCATGCTTTGACAATAAAAATAACCTTTAAATTTAGTCATCACATTTATCAATTTTACTCTAATAATTTTTGTATTACTATAATATTTATTAAAGGGGTCATATGATGTTGCTAAAAAGAACATTATTTTGTGTATTTGGTGTAATGAAATGTGTTTATGTGGTTTAAGGTAAAAAAAAAAAAAAAAACACTTTTCCACATACTGTACATTATTGTTTCTCCTCTATGCCCTGCCTTTCTGAAACGCGTC